GAGAATATGAAGAAAATTTGGGAAGAAATTCTTGAATCTCAGTGTTGAACTCTTAGAATTACTATTTGGAAGCCATGATTTGCATATTTGAAGTAATTTTTGGAGTTTTTCTACAATTTGATTAGATTGAAATGGCTCCACGACAAAAGAGATGAGTTGAGTTCGACGAGTCTCGCTTCGTCAATGCGATGGCTCAAACAAAATTTACTTCAATATTTAAAGGAAAGAAGTGTATACAAGATCGAGTTTTTGAAAGTCCGGGAGGACAAATTGAACGAGTTATTGCCGAGCGGAGGTGGGAAAACTTTTGTTACACCACCAATAAAGCTGATGCAAATGTTGTGAAAGAGTTCTACGCCAACGTATTCTATTCTGAAGATGGAATCGTTCGAGTGCGGGGATTTCCTGTTGAATTTACTGTGCCGCCCGCATCAACTCCTTTTACAAAGTCACAACTTACAATATGACTCCTTTAGTACGATGGAAGGCCCACTCAATGATGTGATCAACTTTCACACTGATGGGAAAGGAACATGGAAGATAAAGCAGCGAGAACGGGTAAATTTTTCTGCTTCCATGTTGAATGCCACCTCTAAAGCGTGACACTATTTTATTTCTTCTACTATGTTACCGACTTATCACCATAGTGAGATAATTAGAGATAGAGCTATTCTGAATTTCTATATTTAGAGTAATAGAAGTTTAAATGTGGGAGGAATTATTCTTAAGAATATATTGACTACGGTAAGGAGTGAGACAAGTGGAGGTCTAGGACATCCTGGCCATATTTATGCACTTTGCCAACTTTTTGGAGTGGAAACTGAAGATGAAGAATGAGTTTACCCTATGAAACCCATTAATAAAGCCAATTTAACAACTTATGAATTCCATGAGAAATGGAGAACTGGAAGTAGAAGTCAAGAACCTTCTACTAGTAGAGATGTCCCCTCTACAAGTTATGACCTTCCACCTTCTAGTTCCCCAACGCTCTCTGATTTGATGAATGAGTTGACCTTGCAGCGGAAGAGCATAGAGTTAATAAATGAAAGGATTGGAGGTCTAGAACGTCGATGTGATTATGATAGTGAGTACCTTCAGAGACATTCAAATTTTGAGGTAGCATATTATGAAGCTCAGGCCCGACACAACAGAGGTGAGCCTGATGTTACTTTTCCTGAGTGCCCCCGATATACTCAGTATCATCCCGATCCACCTGCTAATCAAGGCGATGAAGATATAGCTTGGGATTTTGATATTTAAATGTAATTGATGTACTTATATTTGTACTTTTATTTCTGTGATTTTTTTGTAATAGAAATGAATGTTTATGTGTATTTGGACTTTCATTTTTATTATTATGTTGTACTTAGATAATTTTTATTTTTGTTATAAAGTTAGTGTTATTAAAAAATTTGCATGTGTAGTTTAATAGATGTTGAGTAGTATTGTGAATTGTAATGTAATGTGATTTTTACTTCGCATTTTAAATTATTTTGTTAGTATTGTGTTTGTGTTAGGAAATATTGTGCTTGTTTAATGTTTTAGTTTTATACTTATTTCAAAATTTCATTACCCAAAAATTTCTCTAATGATTTATATGTGTAGAAAACTTTTAATATTACAGACCAGGTGAAGTAGAAATGTTAAGAAGGCCTGCAAAAATTTCAGAATGATGAAAATACCTAAAATACTGAGGTATGATTTATATTTAGAGTTTTTATTTCCACTTGTATTATTTTATATTGAAAATTTTAAGTTCGGGGGATGGAAGAAAAAGATTAACTATTAGATGTCCTCTATTTAATTATTTTCAAAAATTATTTATATGATTTTATGTAATAAATTTAATTCAGTTAACTATATTTTTGTAGCTATTTAAATATTACAGTAGATTTAAAAAAATATTTTTGTAATGAAAATTAATTTTGTAACTTAAAATATTTAGTATAAAGAATAAGATTATAGTTAACTATTTAAAGTAAAGGAAACTATATTTTGAAGTATTAAGAATCTGGAAATTCATTTGAGAAGAAAAGATTGGGGCAAAAGGATTGAAAACAATCTCTGAAAAGAAAAGAAAAATATATAGGATTGAAAGCAATCCAAATGAAAAGGAGAAAAGAAAGAAAAAAATTATGGAAGTGAGGAGAAGCTTGAGGATATGCCTAATTAAAAATTGGCTTCACAAGACCTACCCTAAGGGGAAAACCTAAATACATTGCTGAACTTACATTTATGAAATAGATCTTTTACCAGTAGAGTTCTCAAGAAGTTCCTATCTTTTGAATATTCTAAGTGACTTAATATTGCAACATATAGTCATTATTGAAATGAATAGAAGACTAGAACACTTAAACTTGATGACTAGATAATCTTGTGGCTACAAAGTTAATTCAATTACTTGAATTTTTTCTGAAAATCTCACTATGATATTTATTTAAATCAAACTTATAGTATTTCTGAATTAAAACTTTACTACAGTAGATCATAACTTTTATATAGTACTAAAATTACTTGAGGACAAGTAATAGTAAAGTTTGGAGGATTTTGACCAGACGAAAATATGTTGAGATTTTCATACTTATTTTATATTTTTTTAATGATATTGCACTTTAAAGAAAAATATTTTTGATGTTTTGTTGCACGAATCATGAATTAGAGTCATTGGAGCAAAAAGAAGAAAAAATGAGCTAATTTGGAGCGAAAAGGACCAAAATGTGAAGATTTGAACTAGGGCGTCGACGACGAGATTTTCCCGAGACACCAGAATAATTCATTAAGAAGGTCCGCCGACGGTGCCCTCGAAGCCGCCGACGGCGAGCCTGCTGATTATGAGCCCAATCAAGCTTTGGATAAGGCCAAATTTTGAAGGGATGCTTAGGCAACTATTGGGAAAGCTCATCCACAACTTTAAAAGAATATTTTGGCCGAAAATTAGAGAAGAAGGAAGGAGCCTAGAAGTCCTGGAGGTTAGAAAGGATCCAATAGTGTGTAAGAATTGTGAGGAATTCTTCGAGAGATTGTAAGAGTGGAGGGAAAGTGAGAGATTTCTTCCTCCTTGCTGCTTCCAAGAGGAATTATGTGTG